TTACTATGGTAATGGTTCCCAGTGTGTGTTGAGACCATGCGAATCGTGCAGATGTTACAGTCCATTATTTACATTACATTCATGCGTTCGTGCACCGTTCCCACGTCCTCTTTTGAGCGTGTTTGCAGTCTGAGCTGGGAGGAGAAAGAAAGAGAGAGAGGTTCTATACATATATAACAGTGGGGGCCCCATTGCAGTGTTTCATGGATACTATACTCAACTGAAGCAACAAAAATAGGCTATTTTATTCCCACAGAGGCGAGTCTGAGGTCTAATGTTTGTGTGTCACGCTCCAATGTCACTGCAACATGTGAAACGCAATACATCCGTTTGCTCGTTCATGACTCCGTGATCATCATTTGTCAGAGAGAGAGTGGGAACCACAGTCGTAACCTCTGTGTGGCCCATCTGCATGATAAGCTCCGCTGTGCCAGTAGGACGAGTCGCATACTGTCTGTAAAGAATTGATTTCTGACGCAGAAGAGTTGCCGTCTCTCCGCTTCGATTTCTTTCGATTACGCAGGATAAAGACCAGCATTCCCACTACGGTGAAGGCAGATGTCACGAAAACCAAGAGCAGTCCAGGCACGAGCACTGAAATGGACACTCTGCTAGGCTCCAGGTAGGTGTTGGGCCGTGTCCCTGTGTCTACCGGGAAAGTGCTGTTTTTGGACAGGGAGGTGGGGGAGATCTTCTCATAGAGTTGAGGGCACATCAGATCGTTCCTGATTCGCCGGAAATCCCTCTTCCAGAACTCCTCGGGAGATTCGCATTTGAGATCGCTCACAATGACGTCTGCCCCAAGCTTGTCTGTCCACTGTTTGAAGGGAACAATGTTGCATGAGCAATCCCAGGGGTTCCCATGCAAATCAATCTGGATAATGGAGTTGAGCTGGTCTAAGACACCTGTCACAGGGAGATATGTAAAATAATTGTTATGCAAGCTTATTTTAGACAAAGACACCCCCAAGAATGCATCCACGGGTAGAGCTTTGAGCAGGTTGTTGTTGAGGAACAGCACCCTCAAGTTGGGCATCGGGCTGAAGGTGCCGGGCATTATGAGCTGGATGTCGTTATATTCCAAACTGAGATACTCCAAGTTCTGAAGTCCAATGAACATCTCCGCCATTAATGTATCCAAGTAATTCTTGTCCATGTAGAGCCACCTCAACTCTGTCAGATTGTGAAAAGTGCCATTTTCAATCATTTTAATGTTATTCCCCCCAAAATCAAGCAAATTCAAGCTATGGTATCCTCTGAGCTGGTTCCTTTTGACGGTATGAATGTTGTTGTCGCGCAGATTTAACTCATGCGCACTCAGGGGTCTAGGTTTGAGATTAGCCATGCTCTCTATTTTCCTGCCCTCACAATTAACCCCAAGCCCTTGTCTAGTTCCTATTAGCTTACAACTACAGGACTGAGGGCAGGTCGAATTAGCCGGCGGCTCCCTTTCATTGATGCCTGTCGCCATCGCTGTGGGCTTCGTTTTCAGCTGCCAGTTCTCCCTGGCTTTCGGACGTCCCCTGTTATGCCCTCCCCCAGAGCTATGGGACTCCGTCACCCCACTCGTTTTATAGGGCGTTGGACGGAGGCCGCGATCGGGAGTCTCGTCTTGGGTGGGAGGCGCCACCAGGCTGGAATCCATGCCACTCTTTGAAGGGCACAGCTCCGTCTCGGCCGTTTCATTCAGATCGTTCCCTTGCAGCCGAGTGGGTGCCTCGCAAATGACCCTTCCAATGAGCACATTCTGCGGGATGTTCTCTAGCCATTCCTTTAGGGAAACCAGGTCGCAGTTG